AAATAGTTGTATTGTCTAAGTTTGTAGAGTTCAAAAGCTTTATAGACCATGATAATGACAATTCGCCTTGTTTGTGACTCTAGCTAAGTATCACCATCCCACAATATTGTGAAATTTATATAATCACTGAATCTCAATAGAGAAACTTATAAAAAAACAAACAAACAAGCAAACAAAATGCTCATGGACAGCCGGGCGCTGGTGGCTCACGCCTGTAATCCTAGCTACTCAGGAGGCTGAGATCTGAGGATCGCAGTTCAAAGCCAGCCCGGGCAGGAGAGACAGTGAGACTCCTATCTCCAATAAACCACCAGAAAGCTGGAAGTGGCGCTGTAGCTCAAGTGGTAGAGCGCTCGCCTTGAACTGAAAAGCTGAGGGACAGCGCCCAGGCCCAGAGTTCAAGCCCCACGACCGACCAAAAAAAAAAAATGCTCATGGACAGTGCTCAGGTCCTGAGTTCAAGCCCCAGGCACCAAAAAATGAAAGAAAATTTAACAATGTCATCCTCTCCCTGCTCTCCTGATGCCTTCACTCCTCACCAAAATGCAAGTGCCAAACGGGTCTGCCTTGTTCAGAGTTAGGTGCCTGAACTGAGAAGGGACTCAGTAAGTCCTTGTTGAGTATTGAATGAATGAAAATCTCCTCTCCCTCTCCCATTCCCTTCCCTCCCCAAGGAATAGTAGTAGAAAAAACTCATCAGGGAGGGAGGGAGGGTCCTCTCCCAAGCCCGTGAGCTAGGCCAGGTCTAAATTTTGGGTGGGAAAAAGGCTAGAAACCTTCATTCCATTGCCTTCCTTACTTCTCTCAATCCATCTCCCTCTACTGATCTTACCGGGGCTTGAACCCATACTTTTGCATCAAGGGTGATGCTCTACCACTTGAGACCCAACTACACTTCCTGACTTTGCTGGTTGAACTCTTGTCTGAAAGACGCATTCCTTAGGCACTTTCAACTTACTGGTCTCTAATCATAGCTCCTGAGGACAACTAAGCCCAGATATAGGAACAGATTTAACTCATTTTCAATCTTTTTTTCATAACAGAGTCTCAGATTGAAGCCAGCGGGGCTGGGCGGGGGTGTGGGGGGATGAGGGGGTGGAGAAGGGCTCTCTGAGACTCTTATTTCCAAGTAACCAGCAAAAAGTTGGAAGTGAAGGTGGGGCTCAAGTGTTAAGAGTGGCATCATTGAGTAGGGAAAAAAGCCTAAAAAGCCATCCACACTTCCCTGCCTCAGCCCATCTCTTCTCAGGCCTGTGGGAGGCCATGTGACTTACGTTAGTGACACCTGGTGGCCAGTTAGACTAGTTCATGCCTATAAGGCAGAGCCTAGTACCATGCCTGGGACACAGAAGGTCCTCTCCTTTGAGGATCACAAGAATGAATGAATGCAGACTGGAGAAGGATAAGAAGGAAGAGATGTATGTTGGGGCTTGGAGACCCACCAGGGGAACAAAACAAGATTGCAGGAGTGGGTCAGACAACTCATCTACTCAGGGTTGTACAAACAAGTAGGCCTCTGCTGCTCTTTCTTATCTGTCCTGTATTCTAGGGGCATAAGGAAGTCTCTCACAACTATTTGGGAAAAGACTGAAATGAATTAAATTGTGAGTTGCATGGTGTATGATATATATCAGTAGAGCTCTTTCCAAAGTATATAACCCTGTTGGATATTCTTTCCTAGAGGATGGGGTTCATTATTCATTCCCCAAAGGTATTCTAGCTCATCCAGCTGGGCTTTCCAGGCCCAGCCATGCCATCCCTGGGCACCAGTCATCACTCATCATGTCTACTGAGTGGCATCCTGCCTGCAGAAGCCGCATGGAGTTCTGTGATGAGACCTGTCCTTAGCATAGTACTGACAGTGTCAGAACCAGAAGCTACCTCCGGTGAGATATCATCTCTGTACATGTAGAAGTTTCTTGAGCCCAAAGCAAAGACGATAGGGGGCCGGGTGCTGGTGGCTCTCGCCTGTAATCCTAGCTACTCAGGAGGCTGAGATCTGAGGATCGCGGTTCAAAGCCAGCCCAGGCAGGAGAGACCGTGAGACTCCTATCTCCAATAAACCACCAGAAAACCGGAAGTGGCGCTGTAGCTCAAGTGGTAGAGCGCTCGCCTTGAGCTGAAAAGCTGAGGGACAGCGCCCAGGCCCAGAGTTCAGGCCCCATGACCGGACCCAAAACAAACAAACAAACAAAAAAGCTAAGGGACAGTGCAGTGCCCAAGCTCAGAGCTCAAGCCCTAGTAGCAGTGCGTGTATGTATGCATGCACGTGTGCACACATGTGCACGCACGCGCGCGCACACACACACACACACACACACATACATGGTCACTGGGGTTGGGTGGGCAAGAAAATAGTTCTTCATATCTTGTCCAGGGCCAATGTTCTCTGAACCAGTGCATGGAAATTTATTTCTTTTCCAGGAACACAGATGACTAGTTTCAGAGAAGACTTGTGGGAAATGTAACTGAGCCTGAAATAGAAACAAGAGACTGCCCAGACCCGCACTTCTGGGGCATATGGAAAGAAAAAACAACCAGAACATTGGCCTGAAAGGGGCAGCCTGGAAGCTTGGCAGCCTACAATGGGGGCTTCACTGCCTTCCACAGCCTTTGGCTTCCTTTTTAGATGACCAGACGCCAGTCTGGAAAAGCTGTGAATTCCCTGCTTGTCAGTACAACTGGCCTGACTAACAATACCATACAAGTAGCTACCATACAAGCATGATTCTTCCCAGGCCTGTGCCACAGCCCACATTGTCTGCCTTACTCTCCAGATCCCCATCACTGACCCTATGAGAGATAAAATTGTGTCCCAAGGAAATGTTCTGAAACCTCAACCTCTAGGACCTACGTGATAGTCTGTTTTCTGTTGCTAATAACACAATACTACACTCGGTAGGCTGAAAGAGGTTCATTCTGGCTCCCAATTCTGGTTCAAGGTCAGAGGGCCTTGTAGGGAGTCCTTGCTGGCAGAGTCCCAAGACAATGTCAGATATCATGTGGCAAGAAGCAGGAAGCGTGTGTGGGTGTGTGTGTGCTCGTGCACGCACGTCTGTCTGTCTGTGTCTCTGTGTGTCTCCACTCTCCTCTCTCCTCTGTCTCTGTCTCTCTCTCTTTTGCCAGTCTTGGGGCTTGAACTCAGGGCCTGGGCACTGTGCCTGAGTTTCATTTTATTCAAGGCTAGCACTCTACCACTTGAGCCACAGTGCCACTTTTGGCTTTTTCTGTTTATGTGGTACTGAGGAATCAAACCCAGGGTTTCATGCATGCAAGGCAAGCGCTCTACCACTGAGCCACATTCCTAGTCCTCACTCTCCTTCTTATACAGACACTAGGACTTAGTCATGGGTGGCTTCATCCTGATAACTTTATCTAATCCTAATCACCTCTGAACTCCACGCCTGGATTGTTTCTATCTTCTAAATGCCTTGCAAATGAGGATTATACTCTAAAATGACTTTCTGGAGGGAATGAATCATAACAACCTATAAAAATGACTTTAGTGCCGGGTGCCGCTCATTACAGGCTCATGCCTGTAATCCTAGCTACTCAGAGGCTAAGATCTGAGGATGATGGTTCAAAGCCAGCCCAGGCACAAAAGTCTGTAAGACTCTTATCTCCAACAAACAACTCAGAAAACCGGAAGTGGTGCAGTGGCTCAAGTGGTAGAGCTCTAGCCTGAAGCTGAAGAGGTGAAGGACAACATTCAGGCCCAGAGTTAAAGCCCTGTGACTGACCAAAAAATTAAAAAAAAAAAAGTATAGCTGAACATATCTTTTCAGAAGGCTGAGATCTGAGGATCAGAGTGGAAGGAAGCCAGCCTGGGCAGGAAAGTCACTGAGACTCTTATCTCCAATTAACTATTGAAAAGCCAGAAGTGGGGCTATGTTTCAAGTAGTTGAACCTCATCCTTGAGCAAAAAAAGTTCAGAGAGAGTGCCCAAGCTCTGAGTTCAAACCTCAGGACTGCCTCCCCCTCAAAAAGAAAGAAAAAGGTTGGGGATGAGGCTTAGTGGTAGAGTGCTTGCCTAACATGCGTGAAGCCCTTGGTTTGATTCTTCAGTACCACATATACAGAAATAGCCAGAAGTGGCACTATGACTCAAGTGGTAGAGCATTAGCCTTGAACAAAAGAAGCTCAGGGACAGTGCCCAGGCCCTGAGTTCATGCCCCAGGTCTGACAAAAAGAAACAAACAAGAAGGAAAGAAAAAAGAAGGAATGAAAGAAAGAAAAGAAAGAAAGAGAGAAAGAGAGAAGGAAGGAAGGGAGGGAGGGAGGGAGGGAAGGAGGGAAGGAGAAAGGAAGGAAGGAAAGAGAAAGAAAGAAAGAAAAAGGAAAAAAATGACTATAGCTGGCTGCCGGTGGCTCAGGCTTGTAGTACTAGCTATGCAGAAAACTGAAATCTGAGGATTGAGATTTGAAACCAGACCATTGAGGAAAAAGAAAAAAAGAAAAAGAATAAAAATTACCCAGATTCCTATTGCTAGAGTCACTGTTGATAGTATTTTGTCTTCTTTCTTTCCATCCCTTTATGTGAGCCAATTATAGGGAACAGAGAGGGTAGGGGATTCCCTCCAGTCTTAGGAAATGATTTTTTGAAAAACCAGAATTTCCAGGAATGCCTGTTATTTATGGGAACCCATGGGCATCTGTGAGTGTGGTTTTCTTCCTGTGTCTGCTTGCGATGTGGGAAAGGGTCCAGGCAAAGACCTGGACAGGAATGAACTACTGCTGCTTTACTTTGACTTGCTAGGCCCTCCCCTGTCTGGGACTCAGCATTCTAGACTTGCTTGGCAGCAGGCAGACACACCCTATGAAAGTAGAATTGTTCCATGGGGTTTTATGAAATCAAGCACAGAGCTGGGCTTTCGAGTGTATCACCAGATTTTAAGACTTCTCTATTTCCGCATTTGCTAGGGCAAGTGGAATGGGTCATCTGAGGCCCCACCTCTAAAGCAGGGCTAGAATTCTAGCTTCCTGACATAGGGCCTGTGAGGACTAAGTGAAGTGGTGCATTGCAGCACATGAGATAGGGTCTGTGCTGATGCAAACTCTTCACTGCCTTTCTGAACGGTCTGTCTGAGAAGTCATAGGCATGGCCCCCTCCTATGCAGAGCCAGAATACTACTCCTGGTAGCTGATAGTAGAGAGAATCCTAGGGGCTTGAAGGGAAGCTGGTGTATCAGGTTGTGGCTGCAGGTAAGTTTCTGACTTTCTTAGTACTTTTAATTTTGGGGTAACCAAGGGCAATGGAATGGAGGTTGTTTTATTCACATTCCGCCCCCCCTTTCTTCCCCCCAGATCCTGGGGCTCCAACTCAGGGCCTCAGTGCTGTTCCTGAGCTGCTTTTGCTCAAGGCTAGCATTCTATCTTGTGCTCTACTTTAGTCTTTTTTTTGTGTGTGTGGGGGTGGATGGGGAGGGGGAGGATCAGTCGTGGGGCCTGAACTCTGGGCCTGGGCACTATCTCTCAGCTCTTCAGCTCAAGGCTAGCGCCCAAACACTTGAGCTACAGTGCCACTTCTGGCTTTTTCTGCTTATGTGGTGCTGAGGAAGCGAACCCAGGGCCTCATGTATGCAAGGCAAGCGCTCTATCACTGAGCCACCTTCTCAGCCCCTACTTTAGGCTTTTTTAGTAGTTTATTGTAGATAAAAGTCTCTAGGACTTTCCTGCTCAGGCTGGCTTCAGACCATGATCCTCAGATTTCAGCCTTCTGAGTAGCTAGGATTACAGACATGACCTGCCAAGCTCCAGGCTTGGAATGGAGTTTTCTCAAGCCTTGTTCCTACCCTAAGAGTCTGGCCTGGTTTAAGAGCTTAGGGGTTAAGAGCTTAGTGGGAGGGCCCTCCCTCCCGCCCCTCCCCAAGTCACAGGAAAAACCCTTCTCCATACACTACCTAATAGCCCTGGCAAGGTGCCAGGGTTGAAGAGGAAGCTGCAGTCATTTTTAAAGTTTCATTTTTAGAGGTTTTTTTTTGCTGGTAGTGGCTGAGCCAGCCTTTTGCCTGCCATCTCTCATCTTCTAGGAACAAAGTGCATCAGGAGGCAGAAGGTAGGGTTGGTAGCCCTGGGAAGCAGGAGCAGAGCAGGCTGAGGACAAGGAGTCCTTGGTCCTCAAGGGTTCATGGATGAGTTGGCCACGTGGGTGACACTTCCCGGTCTGGATCTGGGCTAGTTAATGCCTTTTTTTTTTTAATCATGCCTGTGGTCGCACTGGGGCTCTGCACTCTTGGCAACAAACCTTTCATGGATAGATCTATGGCATGGTGTGTGTCCTGGTTGTCCCTTAGAGGTATCTCCAAGAGCAGCCTGTGGGAATGGCTGAGCACCAGGGAAGGGGAAGCTAACGGAGGTGCCCAGCTAGGGCCTTACTCTCAGAGTGCCAGGAACATGGCCATGGATTTTTTTGGTGCCTACAGATGCTGTATTCCAGCCTTCATTCATCCATACCACGGCCCAGGGGTCAGCGGGCCCAGCAAGCAGCTTTGGTGTTGCTGGCAGCCTGCCTGGTGGTTCTTTGGGGGCTTGGGGAGTCCCCAGTCCACACTCTCCGTTGCCTGGTACTCTACTTAGCTACTCTACAGTTTGAACTGCTGTTGAAAAGGATTTGCTGTCTGGCTGAAGAGGTGTGTCACATTCAGTCCAGGTAATTCTCTGCCATTTCTATGATGGCTGGGCATCCAACATGGCTCACTCCCTTGATTCCTAGCTCTGTTCTTCCCTGGCTAAGCTAGGCTCCAGGCTGAGGCTGGGCTGTCCTCTTCAGGTACCAAGGAAGCTACTGGAAGGCTATAAGGGCCTGTTTGGGATGCCCCATTCGCCATGGAGCCCTGCTGCTGCTGTCCTGTTATTTCTACCCATCCCTCCGAAACATCACTGGCCTGTCCCTCGGCTGGGTGCTTGTCATTTTGGTCCTCTCACAGGCTCTGAGCATCCTCCTGGGCCTTCAGGTATGCTATACAAGAAAAGGTCTGGGCAAGTGGAAGAAGTGGCTAGTGTGACCTGCCTGGGCTCACTACTGGGCTTGGGGAGGGATTAATGGTTAGAGTCTTGGGAGTGGAGCCTCGAATGTCCTAGGGAGGAAGCCAGCTACTGGCTGGGAGAACTTCCTGAAAGAGGAAGGCTATGGGTGTATCTTTCACAGAAGTTCTCCAGCCCTATCTTTCTGTCCACAGAGCCTGACTCCAGTTGAGATCTCAGCAGTTTCTGAAAAAAGGAACCTTAATGTGGCCCAAGGGCTGGCATGGTCGTATTACATAGGGTACCTGAGGCTGATCCTGCCAGGTGGGCCACTCTCTGGACCTCCATGTCTAGATACATGGCTTTCTGTGTTTCTAGAACTCGCTGTTCTTTTTAAAATATTTTTGTCTAACAAATCATTGGCTTGGGCTGGGAAGGTGGCTCAGTGGTAGTGTGCTTGCCTTGCATGCAAGAGGCCCTGGGTTCGATTCCTCAGCACCACATAAGCAAAAAGAAAAAAAAAAGCCGGAAGTGGCGCTGTGGCTCAAGTGGTAGAGCACTAGCCTTGAGCTGAAGAGCTGAGGGACAGCGCCCAGGCCCAGAGTTCAGGCCCCACGACCGGACCCCCCCCAAAAAAACCCAACAAATCATTGGCTTCCCAAATCAGCCCTCTCAGCATGAAGGAGATTGCCGTTATGCCCATATGGAGCACAAAAGCCATTTGGTGACTTGCCCAAGGCAAAACCTTGAAGGCTTTTGATATTTACTCTGTGCCCTGTGCCTAACTAATCATCATCATCATCATCATCATCTATTTTAGATAAGGAAAGTGTGATTCTGAGAGGTGACTTCTCCATTTTACATGCCTTAGAGAAGGCAGGATTTGAACCCAGGTCAATCCAGAGCCTGAACCCTAGATCACATGGAGCCCATGTGTCTCAGTCCTCTGCCTTGCAAGCCAAGGTGGTTGCTTTGTGCATCTCATGCCTCTCTTTGACCCTAGGGCTTCTGCAAGGAAGCACTCTGGAGCTGGAGGCTGGCTCTCTGTGCCCTGTAATACTGAGAATGTCTCCTCCAGGGCTTTGCCAGCCTCTCAGACCCTGATGGCTGTGATGGAAAGGGATGGGGTTGACACAGAAATCTAGTGGGGAAAGAAAGAGAAGCTAGAACTTCTTCCCCTCCAGCCTCCTGTATAATGAGAGTGGGATAGACCCAATTCTCTTGCACCCACACTGAGGAGGCCAAAGCTTGGGTCTCAGTCCTGGCCTGGGAGGGAAGGTTCATGAGGATGACTTCTTCATCTTCCCTATCCTAGGGCTCCAGGCTCGGATCCAAACTTACAATCAGCTCCATAACAACATACTACAGGGTGCAGGAAGCCAAAGGTTGTACATCCTCATCCCATTGGACTGTAGGGTACCTGATGACCTGAGTGTGGCTGATCCCAACATCCGATTCCTGCACATGCTGCCCCAGCAGAGCATTGACCGTGCTGGCGTCAAGGGGAGGATTTACTCCAACAGTGTCTATGAGCTTCTGGAAAAAGGGCAGCCAGTGAGTGTGCAGGGTGATGTGGGCCCCTGGGGTGGAATCAAGGCCCTGGAGAATTCTTCTCTGAGCCTGTTTCTCCCGTGGGTCCCAGGCCAAGGCAAGATTCAATTCTGAATGATAATGATAAGTAACCTTTATTGAGTACTTACTAAATGCTACTCTGGTTGCATCATATGACCACCAGTTAATCCTCACCACCATCCTGAGACTCTGACCCTATAAAGGAGGAAACGGAAGCTCAGAGATACAGTGAGAAAGTGGACAGTTTCAGTTGGAGTTTATCATGCTCTCAACCATCAAGCTTCTTTATAATGAAGTCTGTGAAAACGTCTGAAGGAATTCATGGAGGTGTGGGAAAACCCAGAGCAGAGCCGAACCCCAGAGCCCTCCCCAAGGAATTGATTTCAACAACAACAATTGACAATTCAGTGCAATGATTAAGAAGGCGCTGGGAAGGCTGGTTTATCCCAGCCTGGCCCTGGATTCAGGAAGGGAGATGTCAGAGGCAAAGGCAGACCAGACAGCAGAAACCCCATTAACCTAAGGGAGGGAAGCGTCAGCCCATGGCACTGGGGTCCAGAGACTATCAGCCTAGCTTAGTCTGGTCTTTCTGTCACCAACTCTAGGCAGGCACTTGTGTCCTGGAGTATGCCACACCGCTGCAGACTCTGTTTGCCATGTCACAAGATGGTAGAGCTGGCTTTAGCCGGGAGGAGCGACTGGAGCAGGCCAAACTCTTCTGCCGGACACTTGAAGACATCTTGACTGATGTTCCTGAATTTCAGAACAACTACCGCCTCGTTGTATATCCAGGTGAGAAGTCGGTAGGGTAGAGAGGTCCTAGGATCTCCCAGAGGGTCAGGACATGGACGGCACCATTTCCTGGGCTTTCCCAAGTCATTGGAAAAACTAAACCATACCCTTTCCTCCTGAGAGGTCCCCCTGCTGCCCTAAGATGTTAGTCTTTGGATGTAGAATTTCAGTGGAGTATAAAGAATGGGGTTCTAGAAGCCCTTTACTTCATCTATTGACAGTGCAGGAAGCAGAAGTGTCTGGAGCCTTGGCCCTGTCACTCCCTGGCTACATGACTTGGCAGATTTCTTTCCCTCTCTAAAAGTGAGAGTGGGCTTCCACTATCCCTAAACCTACTTCTAAGCCAGGCTACACTATTATACTATGTAATTGCAGCTACTCAGGAAGGCAGAGGTGGGGATGATTGTGGTTTGAGGTCAGCTCAGGGAAAATATTAGCAAGAACTGATCTTGGTCAACAAGCTAGATATAGTGACCTGTGCCTGGGATTCCCAGTAGTACTAAAGAATCAAGGTTTGAGGCTGGGAAGGTGGCTCAGTGGTAGAGTGCTTGCCTTGCGTGCATGAGGCTCTGGGTTCGATTCCTCAGCACCACATAAACAGAAAAAGCTGGAAGAAGAGCTGAGGGACAGCGCCCAGGCTCAGAGTTCAGGCCCCACAACCGACAGAAAAAAAAAAAAAGAATCAAGGTTGAGACTGGCCTTGGCAAAAATCTACCTGAAAGCAAACTCTACCTGAAACTCTAACTGAAAGCAAAAAAGGGCTGTAATATGGTTCAAGTGGTAGAGAGCCTGCCTAGTTTCAAGTTTTTTTTGTGTTTTTTTTTTTTGTCGGCCGTGGGGCTTGAACTCTGGGCCTGGGCGCTGTTCCTCAGCTCTTCAGCTCAAGGTGAGCACTCTACCACTTGAGCTACAGCGCCACTTCCGGTTTTCTGGTGGTTATTGGAGATAGGAGTCTCACGGTCTCTCCTGCCGAGGCTGGCTTTGAACCGCGATCCTCAGATCTCAGCCTCCTGAGTAGCTAGGATTACAGGCGTGAGCCACCAGCGCCCGGCTCAAGT